AGATTCACCGATTTTTGTGATTTCGCAAGGTAGTTGATTTAATGTTGCAATCACCGTAACAATGCTACCATAATTATGATTTTTTTCGAGCAGTCAGGTCGGTATTTAATTTCCTTGTAAGCTACCATTTTCCCACCTTCGCTTACATACCTACTCCCCATCCTCGCCCCTACCTCTTACCCTCCTCTCCTTCCCCTATTTATTTAAACCTGCATGCCATTCTAATTCCTTTTACTCTCATTCTCGCTTTATCTATCAACGTTTTACTATCTATCAATATTATATCATTTTTTTACTTGTGTGTTACACTCTTGACTTACTCATTTGATAATTCACATACCTCGTTTATTCACCACTCACCTATCGTCATGCAGCCTCATACGCACATGACTCCTCGATTAAACCACATTGATTGCACAAGAATTATATGTGTATAGTTCATAGTAGCTTATTGACTTGCACCAATCTTGTATTCTTGCCTTGTATTAGGGCTGATGGTGATGTGTGAAAGGAAAAAGGACATGTACTTTCTACGTCAGATGTACAATGTAGGCACTATTGCACAGCACGCTGTTGCCCTTGGCAATGTTGCATTTTTCCTCTTTCTAAGGAACTTAGTTGTTCAAGAGTCTTAGCGGACTGTGACAAGTTTTCCTTCCTAATAATTATGCAGTCTTGTAGAGTTTCCCTTCTTTCCACCCAAGACAATTGCAGCTCAAGTCCTGCAGGCTGTTGCAATTGCCTCCCTAAGCATGTCCCTCTGTTTTTACTTTGGCAGATGATCTTTTGAAATATTGATATAAAAATTGAAAGTTTAATATGAAATTTGAAGTTACATTTTCTTGATGGTATATGATATATGATACTTATTCATTGGAAATTTTCTGCCACAGCATCATCTAAGGTCATTTGCAGCGTATTCAAAATATAGCAATAGCGTGAAGCTTGAGGGCAAAGCTCCCAGGTAAGGAAGTGCTATACGATATCAAAGGTCATATGGCACTATGGTAAAGTATAGTAGCAAAAAGGGTTTGGAATGAGTTAATGATTAGTGCCAAAAATGGAATAAGAAAACTACTAAATGCTCCAACTAAGTCAGGTGGAGGAAAACTTGCCCTATCTAGTTGTAAAGATCCTGTTAAGTGAAATGGAATTTTGGATTTTGAGCAAGATAAATTGGCCATTTAAGTTACAGCTAAGTTAATAAAAATTCAGTATCATTAGCCTGCAATCCATATACCAATGCACAAATATGCTTGTCCTACATAATGATTCACCTTGTACAAAAAACAAGACATGTATATTGAGTGACCTCCACAGCCCAACACTTATTTTTCT